CATTTATGTCTTCTTGATTCTAAATGCTATGCCAGTGCAGAAAGAGAAGTAAAGCCCATTTCACTTACTACTGTGTAAGCTAAAATCTCAAATAAAATTTCAGCATGCAGAATTGTACCAACAGGGAATGATTTCTCTTTTTTAAAGGTTAATCAAGTGAAGCAGAGGGAGTAGAGAAGGAACAAACGAATCTGTAACTGGTGTGATCAATTACTTGTAAACACCACTGTACTCAGACCAGCCCAATATGGAATGATCATCCACCATGATCAAGAAGGACTGACTCAAAGAAAGTTAGGCTGATACCCATGCATTCAATCACCAATCCCTCCATTTATACGTCCCCCTACCCATCCTTCTAGCTATATGCCCATTCATTCACCCACCCACCTTCCCACACTTCCTTCTAACCATCCATCCATCCACACACTCATGCAACCAATCACACACCCTTCCAACAATCCATCCATGCAACCATCCACATACCCTTCCATCCAACCACCCATACAACTCTCCATCCATCCATGTACCCTTCCATCCTGCCATCCATGCAACTATCCATGTACCCCTCTATCCATCCATCCACACACCCATGCAACCATCCATGTACCCTTCCATCCATCCAACCATCCATGCACACATGTAATCATCCACATATCCATCCACATACCCATGCAACCAACTGTATATTCTTCCAACCATCCATCCATGCACCCATGCAACTATCTACATACCCTTCCATCCAACCATCCATACACTCATGAAACTCCCCATCCATCCATCCACATACCCTTCCATCCCTCTATCCATGCAACTATCCATGTATCCTCTATCCATCCATCCATGCACACATGTAATCATCCACATATCCATCCACACACCCATGCAACCAACTGTATACCCTTCCAACCATCCATCCATGCAACTATCTACATACCCTTCCATCTACCCATCCATCCATCCACACACCCATGCAACTCTCCAGCCATCCATGTACCCTTTCATCCCTCCATCCACCCTTTCATCCCTCCATCCATGCAACTATCCATGTACCCCTCTATCCATCCATCCACACACCCATGCAACCATCCATGTACCCTTCCATCCATCCATTCATCCATCCACATACACATGTAACCATCCACATATCCAACCATTCAGTCACCCACTCACCCATCTCTCCATCCATCCACCTGTCCACTCAACCACTTATCTGTCCATAGATCAGTCTATCCACCCAACCAACCACTTACTGAGCACCTAATCTATGTAGAAATTATGCCAAGTACAAGGTGCTGAGAAATGAAAAGTAAAATCCTGGTCTTCCAGAAGCCATCAGTCTGATGCAGCAGGTAGTGAGGACTGGTGAAAGGTGTGGCAAATACATCCATAATGTGAGTACACCACCACTGTCCCAGCCTGCAGAGCATTCACGGGTAGCGAGCATCTACTTGGAAGACAAATTCCTAAAAGTGGAATTACTGAACAAGAAGGTATGTGCAATCATAAGGCTACAGTTATGCCCTGCCAAAATCCCCCCAGATAAGTTTTGCCAAATGCCCCTCTTCTGTGCTGCCCACGTGGCGGCAACTGCCCTCTTCCCTTCGTTTTAAGGGTTTCCATATCATTGTGAATCTCAAACCTCGTCAGCTCAAAGACAGCATAACACTTCCTGAGAGAGCTGACACAGCAGATAGAATTAGTGTAAAGACAGAAGGGAGAAGCAGGGACATTTCTCCCATTGTGATGGACTGAATTGTGCCCCTGCAAAATTAGTATATTGAAGCCCTAACCCCCAGTATCTTGAAATGTGATTCTCCTTGAAGACAGGACCTTTAAAGAAGTAATTAAGGCAAAATGAGGTCATTGGAGAAGGCCCTGATCTAACAGGACTAGTGTCCTTATAAGAGGGCACTAGGACACAGACAGAGAGGGACAACCAGGTGAGGACACAGGGAGAAGACGGCATCCGCACGCCAAGGAGAGAGGCCCCAGGGGTACCAGCCCTGAGACACCTTGATCTCAGATTTCCAGCCACTGCAATTGTGGGAAATACATTTCTGTTGTCTGAGCTGCCATCTGTGGTAGTTTCTTGTGGCAGCCCTAGGACACACTGACACAGTGTCCGAGGGACCCCGTGTCAGTGGGTGAGCGCATTTGCAAGAGGCAGACTCCTGCTGGTTACGAGTGAGCCGGCGGACCTGGTGCAGGCCTCCAAACGCTGCGGGGACACAGGGTAAGATGACTGGCACAGGGCAGGGGGGCTGCTCAGGACGGGAAAAGCCAGAGAGAAGCGAACGCTGCTGGATCTGATCCCTGGGGTCCAGGCTGGCCTTAGCTCAAACACCATCCGTTTTGCCTGTGACCCAGCCAAAGGTCACCTGGCTCTCTCTTATCAGACCTTCTGAAGCACCACATAACTTTTTTAAAAAACTGTAAATATGGGCCAGGCGTGGGGGCTCACGCCTGTAATCCTAGCACTCTGGGAGGCCGAGGTGGGCGGATCACTCACGGTCAGGAGTTTCAAACCAGCCTGAGCAAGAGTGAGACCCCGTCTCTACTAAAAATACAAAGAAATTAATTGGCCAACTAAAAATATACAGAGAAAAAAAAAATTAGCCAGGCATGGTGGTGCATGCCTGTAGTCCCAGCTACTTGGGATGCTGAGGCAGAAGGATCGCTTGAGCCTAGGAGTTTGAGGTTGCTGTGAGCGAGGCTGACGCCACGGCACTCTAGCCTGGGCAACAGAGTGAGACTCTGTCTCAAAAAAAAAAAAATGTAAACATATGTCATCACTTCAATCCTAAGTATTTGTGTCTTTCTTTTCCTCCTACACTGTGAGGTCCTTTGGGGGCAGAACCTCTGCCCTACTTACTTTTATATATAACACAGGATCTTGAACTTCACAAAAAATTTTATCTCTATTTGATCTGCATGAACCAACAAATAAAAATCAACTCCTATTCCCACATTCTTCTGCTATCCAAACAGAATACAACACCTAACACTTTTCATTATCATGTGTCGATTAGCACATCAGTAATTAATATTATTTGCACAGACATGTTTACATTGCGTTCAACTTATGCAAAACACTGGGTATCATTAAACTTTCGCATTACAGATTTTGGTTTTGGTGGGCAAAGAATAATTCTTTCCCCGAATTTTCATTTCTATTACTCTCAAATTTAATTTTTCAAGTGTATTCTTTCTTGCTGATCCTTCAGAAACTAAACCGTCTCTGGAAAAAGTTGAAAACCACTTTCCAACATTCAAATTCTACAATTTCACTGAGCCTCCCCACTCTTAAAAACACACAAACAAGTCTGAAAATTGCCGGGTTTGGAGCTCAAAAGCAGAATGCTTCTGGAACCAATTTCTTCAGCGTGGTTATGCAGTGTGCTGGAAGACAAAGCCGTGATAAAGGAGCACCAGCCCCACCCCTTCCCCTTGTCCTCTGTGTCGACAGTGCCACCCACTCACTCACACTCTCACACTGCGTGCACGCGAGAGCTGTTCACGGCAACCCTCCCTTACCCACAGAAGAGGAGCTATGCTCTGGCCACCGTGGTGCCCTCTGCACAGTCTAAAGGCTCGTGGCACCAGGCAGAGGGCCAGAGGAGATCAAGGTCTCACGTGGCAGAGCCCACCGAGAGCCAGGCCCACGACACACTGCACAACTGGGCTCATGATGGCAGCGATGCCTGGATGCTGGCTTTGAAGACAGACCACAGCTGGCGCTCAGCACGTGACTTACTTGGAATCCATAGTAATAAAGCTATAATTGTGCTTCTCAGACACGGCTAAATTCTGTGGGTGGATTATTCATTGGCCTTTCTTACCCATGGGTTCTTTGTTTTAGCCGTGCAGACTGTTAAGTAATTGCAGGGACTTCCTACACAAGCACACACAGAATATCAATTCTGTCGCCTCAGAGCCGCATAAATATTTGATACTCTTATATGAGGCTAACAGCACTCAGCTTAAAGCCCAGTGAAATCAAACCCCATTATATCAGGCTGTTGAAAGCAAACATTTAAACTGGTTACTTCTGCAAAAGAACCTTGAGTTTTTTTTTTTCCTTTTTTTTTTTTATTTCGGCATATTATGGGGGTACAGATTTTAAGGTTTCAATAAATGCCCATTTCCCCCCCTTGAACCTTGAGTTTTGAGGCCACTGTTTAATTTGAATGGCATGCCAATCACACAAGAGTCTCAAGGCAATAGAATCATCTGCACCCAGCAATCCTGCCCTGTGCACTCACTCCCGCCCCTGCACCAGCCCTTTCAAAATAAGGTCACACATCGTCTGCACAGACATAGACTTTCTTCTCCCGCCCACCTCGTATTTAATCTAAATCCTATCCACACCACAACAAAACGGCCACAGCGCACATTTGGGAATTACGGCCCGCAGCACCGCGTTCTCTGCTGCTGCAGTTCTTGCAGATGCTCAGAGCCTCTCTCTGGGAGGTGACCGACTTCATATCTATTTTAAACCTCAAAATAAACTCATTAACTACGTCCAATTTAGGAAGGCTTGCCCTATTCCTTTCTGCCTGGCAATCCTCAGAGGCAAGTCTAGTTTCAAGACCGTGGGCCAAGAAGACAGCTGCGCGCTAGGTGGCTAACACTTCCCTTTAGCCAGGTGCCCCATACAAAGGCTCAGTTCAAGTAGGTTAAACTGAACTTCTCATTTTGTCTCCAAAAAGAGTCTCACAGTGGGGAAGACACAGCAGCCATTTTAAAAATTAAAAATGCCACCAAGGAGTTAGAAGGCGTCTCCGCCCCTGGGGTGCTTCTCCAGGCAGGGCTGCGGGTGCACCAGCTCTGCTCAAAACTCCAGGGCACTGGAGATGTTGGAAATCACGCCCAGTCAGGAGCTGCTTGGGCTTGGCAAACACCAGCCGTCTGGCCATATTAACCAAGCAGCCACCCACCCTACAGAAGCCCGCCCCCAAGACATGTTTTGAGTAACCCCAAATCCAAACTGCACCCACCTTGGAGTGGACCGCCCCTCCTCGGCATGGACTATGGAGGGGAGTTCTCGGTGCTCCCTGGCGTCCTCCGCCTGCCTTTGAGGTTCCACAGAAGGTTCCTGCGAAGGGCAACACAACGAGACACCAAGTCACCAAGCTGCCTTCCTCAAGACGTCTGTTATTATGAAAGCCCTCATTTGTGGGTTCGCCTTGCACGCCTGCACCACGACATCAGCGATGCCGCCTGCCGTCTCGTACCAGGACCCGGCCGAGATCCTTGGCGGTTCAGCTCCACAAAGCTCTTCATTGAAACAACTGAACTAAGACCCTGCCGCCATCCACTTCTATTCTGGGCAGGAAGCAGAACTCCCACGTGAAGCCTGTAAAACTGTGTGGCACAACTGGCCAAAAGAAATAAAGCACAGCTGGTCACAAATCACAGCAGGGAAGCCTCAAGTCCTGGGACTTGTCAGAATGTGGGGTTCTTTGCTCCTGATGCAGGAAGCGTGAAATTCTTGGAGGTCACACTAAATCGTCCACAAGCCAGGGCAGACCAGCAGCAGAAACGAATGCTCGCGGTTGTCTGCGTGGGATTTCAGGGCTAGGATGCCATGGAGCAAACTGGCAGCTTTCTTTCCATGTACACATTAGGCATCCTACGTCACATCTACCACTGGTCCTTTCAAAAAGAAATCGCATCTGTTATTGCAGACATTCTTTTCTTTGAACTATACAAACTCAGATGTAATAAGCAAAATGAAGCTGAAAGTGGGGGAGAGACTGTCGACTCTGAAGTATGGCTGAGAATATGGAGTTTTCTAGAAAGCTTGATGTTAACTCTCACCAAAAAGTGTGACAGTTTAAGGCATTTTAAATACGTTTTGCCCCAGAGCAATCCTTAAAAATACTTGCAAATAAAAAACAGAATATCAGGCTGGGCGTGGTGGCTCATGCCTGTAATCCTAGCACTCTGGGAGGCCGAGGCAGGTGGATCGTTTGAGCTCATGAGTTCAAGACCAGTCTGAGCAAGAGCAAGACCCCATCTCTACCAAAAATAGAAAGAAATTAATTGGCCAACTAAGAATATACAGAAAAAATTAGCCAGGCATGGTGGCGCATGCCTATAGTCCCAGCTACTCGGGAGGCTGAGACAGGAGGATCGCTTGAGCCAGGAGTTGGAGGTTGCTGTGAGCTAGGCTGACGTGACAGCACTCTAGCCTGGGCAACAGAGTGAGACTGTCTCAAAAAAAATAAAAAAACCCAGAATACAAAAAAAAAGCCCAATGCTACAAATATTAAATGACATCAGTTTTGAAAAGGAGCTATCGCGTTTTGTCTTAAGCCTTTAAATGAAGTGCCCATTTTCATTGCAGAGGGATTGTCACTGTTTTCTACAGTCCCCTCCAAGGTCTGTGCTCAGCAGGAAGGTCGCAGTGGGCCAGCTGTGGGAAAGACAGGACCAGAGGTTCTGACCACAAGGCTGGGAATGAAAGGTGCAGGTTTGTTGGAACACGGCACTTAATCCGCCGTGAACGTATCAAAGTCGTCCCCAAGTACCTCTCACACAAGTCCTTACTAGAAAAGCCGTCGAGCATAAATGCTCCAACAGCAGACCCGAGGAGCGCCCATACTAGGCCATGCGATTTGGGGGTCCTGTCTGTGCCTGAAGACGCCGTCGGGGCAGCGTGTCCCTCACCGCGGCGCCACACTCACCTGTTTGTAGTGGTCCGTGGACGGCGATGACCGGGACCTTTCGTGAAGGTAGCGCGGCCTCTCGTGCTGGTCCAGACCGGCGTCCAGAATGTCATCTGCCGAGTGGTACCGCCCGGAACTCCTGGCTTCCAGAGGTTTCCTCTGTTCCTTCCAAGAGGCCTGATACTCTGCGAAGGTCCCGAGTCGCTGTGGCGGCTCCAGTTTCCCCGCCTTGTCTGCTTTTCTGTGACCGCCCAGGCTCTCCCCGAAGGAGCTGGTGCGCGGCCGGGGCTCCGCGGCGTCACACCCACGGCCCGCTGTCCACGGCCTCTCCCTTGGGAGCACACGGGGTGCTTGCCTCTGCCCCGGCCTCTGGGGAAGCGGTTTGCTTGTTTCCTCAAAAAACTTCCACCTGTCGGCAAAAGTGCCCACGGTGTCCTCGGGTGTCCTGGGGAGCTGGCGAGGACCGCAGCCCCCCGAGAGGCCGACCTCATTCATCTTCTCCGGTTCAGAGTACGACTTCAGCTTCTGCTCCGCGGTGAACCGTTTCCGGCCTCCAATGCGGGGAACGAGGGGGCCGCCGCCTCCGGAGGAGGCTGGCTTCGAGGGGCCCGTTTCCCAGAAGGGGGGCACAATGTCCGGATCCGCAGGGAAGGAGGGTGAGGCCCCGTGGTGCCCCGTTCTGTGTTCTGGTGACCTCGGGTACTCGTCCACCGGGTTGGGGTCCAGATCCCGGCGCTTGAAAGACGTGGCCCTCAGGACCCGGGCTTGGGCCTCCTTCAGGTGGTCCTTGTAGGTGCCGGTGAAGGGTCCCTCTGGGGGCGTGCTGGCGGCCCCTCCCAACTCAGCCCTCCAGCCACCTGCGGCGTCCTCCGCGTCACCGGTCAGAGTGGCCGTGCTCTTGCTCTTCTGCAGCTTGGCCCTGCGCATCTGGATCTCGTTCCGCAGCGTGGTGGCAAACCGGTCGCTTCTCCGTGTGGCTCTGCCCACCTGGGCGTCTAACGTCGGTGGCTTTGCCGCGCCACCACCCTGGCGGTTCTCCGGCTGGCAGGTCCCCTCCTGGGTCAAGGAGTGCAGCAGGGGTGTCTTCTGGGGAGAGATCCTGCTGCTCTGTCCATACTCCCACTTGAAGCCGCCCGCTGCCGTGTGCTGGCCCGCTTGGTCAGCGTGGCTGGCCCCGGGAGGCTCCTGGGCCGTTGTGGAGCAGCCCTTGGCCCCTGCGTCTGGGGGGTGACACCATCCTGTCTCACGGGCACCCAGAAGACCCTCGTGCTGAGGTAGGTGACGGCGTGGGCCCTGGCCCACAGGCTGCGAGGGAGGATGCTGGAGGGCGCCCGGGGCCGCATCGCAAGGCCAGCGGCCCCCTCGGGGCTGTGCTGCCTTGGTGCCCGCCTGCAGGGGCTGCCTGGTGGGCACGCAGTGACGGGGGCCCTGCCCGCTGCCACCCGCCGTCTGGTCGGCAGCACCGAGCCACCTCAGCTGAGGGGGGCCGTCACCCTGGAAGTGTGCGGCGGGAGGCTCCGGCCCGAGTCCCATAGCCCGCAGCTCCCTTGGTGACACAGGGGTCCCAGGGCTCTCGTCACTGTAGTGGCGCGGGTGCTGGCCCCCACGGGGAGGCTGCGGGAAGCGCACGTCTGTGCTGGACAGAGAGGCCTGGAGCCTGCCAGGAGCCTTGTCCTCAGAGGGCCAGCCGTAGTCCAGGCGGGCCTCCTGCAGGTAGCCTGGGCCTCCAGCCCCCTTCCCACTGCTGGGGCGCACCAGCCTCCGTGGCCAGTCGGTGGGGTCTGGTCTCCAATCGCTGTGGGGCTGAGCCCGGGCCAGGGCGGTAAAGTGCTTGGTGGTGGCCGCCTCTGAGAGCAGGGGGCCCTGGGCCTTCTCGTGGCTCTTAGTGGCAGCAAAGCTATCACTGCGGAGAGGGGGTGGGGGTGGGGGTGGGGAGGAAGGTGCTTTTTTCTTGTCAGGAACATACCAGACCGGCCCAAAATTGGCCCTCGCAGAAGAGGCCGGCTTGGGCTCAGCACTGTCCTCTGGCCTGGGGCTTTTACTGCTGTCACCGGGGACCCTGGGCGGGAAGCACCCCAGCCTGTCCTCTAGGCCCTGAGGGTCACTGGCAGCCTGGCCTTGCCGGCTGCCACCCTGCCTGGAGGCGTCCCAGAGGCCCACGCTGTAGAGGATGTTCTCTGCGGAGGAGGCATCGGCCTTGGACAAGGTGTGGTCGGGAGTGCTGGAGCTGGTGGAGAAGGAGCCGTAGGCCGAGTCGCGCTGGCCGTGGCCGCCCAGATGGTCGATGCTGCTGTTGGACTTGGCCGCGGAGAGACGGCCAGAGGGGTAGGAGTGGGAGGGGTGGTCCAGGCTGTCCACACTCCCCAGGGAGCTGAAGTGGCCAGAGGTGCGCTGCAGGCTCGTCTGCTCCCACGAACCGGACAGGTCATGGGAGGAACAACTACAAAAAACGAGAAGGACAAGGCACACTTTAGCAAAAGGGCAGGACTGCAGACAGCAGCATCTGAACACAGCTGGCCCTTGTGGAAGTGTCAAGATTCCGAATGATAACTGCCCGGGGTAAGGTCCCTGGGTCTGACATCTCACCTCAGCACATCTGAACTGCGGCACAGACAGGGAGAAACTTTCTGAGCACAGGCTGAAAAGACTGTGTTCTCCCCGCTGGTACCTTTTTACCAAACAGATACCTTTCAAGGCTAAATCCCATACCGCCAGCAGGCAGTGCCTATATAACACTGCCATCATCAGTCAACAGTTAAGTGCAGCAGTCAGCAAACTGCAACCCAGGAGCTGAGGATGGTTTTTATATTTTTAAATGGTCAGGGGAAAAGAACTCAAAGGAGTAATATTCCTCCTATCTGACCTGTTAAAGTTATATGAGATTCAAGTTTAAGTTTAGTCTTACTGGAACACTGTGCCCATTTGTTCATGTTTTGTCTGTGGCTGCTTCCGAGCAGAGCTGTGAAGGAGCTCAGGAAATTTCACCCCAAAATGTGACTCCTTGGTATTTGGAATTAAGACCTTTAGAGACTAACAGGCCCTTGAAAAAGAACAATGGACTTCCCTTCCTGCCCCTATTATCTCAGTATATTGCAGGAGGTGGGGGGAAGATCAACAATGCAACCAGACCTGGCCCCAATTATTTAAATATAATACCTGTGCCTCTGGATGATTTAATTTGCAAAGAGAATTATTTACAAGTCCATCTGTCTCCCCATCCATTTGTCCTCCCTAGCACCATGTCACCCCTGAACAGAACTACCTGTACTCTTCATTTCCCTTCCCCTCCAAAAACACAGGTATAAAAACATTTGAACTTAACTAGGATATTCAGTGATTCTCCCCATGTGCATGGTAAATAAACCTTTCTCTTATTAATTTGCCTTAATTGTGAGTTGATCTTTCATCGAACTTTTGGGGGAAAGGGCAAGTTTCCCTCACCCCCACTGTTGGGTCTGGCAGAGGGTAAACAGGTGGCAAGGAAGTGGCTAAGGGCAGAGAACAGGAACCGAATTGTAGCTAGGAACCAAACTGCAGTTAGGAACTGTTCCCTAGTGGGAATGTACATAATAAAAAGTTCTTAGTAACCTTTAACCAACCTATGGAGCTCATTACCATCTAATTAGCATAACATGGGCGGGGCCTCGTGAAGAATTCTGGGGAAGAAAAGGAAACTGTTACATAATCAACCTCTAGTCAATATGTGACCACAACCTGTCAATCATCCCAAAGGCAGGAAATGAAAACCAATACTGCCAGGAGAAAGGCAGGACAAGCTAGTGAGCTTATAAAAGGCAGCATGTGCTCAGGCTCTGGAGTCTTTCTCCACTCCTGGAGACTGGCCCGTTCCACTTTCTCTGGAACATATTTTCACTTTGTAGCTTCCTTACTTTCATTCTTTCCTTTATGTGGTAAGCCGTTTGTATAAAATTGCTCTGTGTCTGAGATCACTCCATGATTGGCTGTCGACTCAGTAGCCATACTCGTTCTTGACACTGGGAACCGGGGGACCAGGGAACATCCACACAAACCTAACATTACAGCTGGGTAACTGCAGCAGAGTCTGTCTGGCTCACAAAGCCAAAAATGTTTCCTATCTAGCCCGTGGAGATAACATTTCCTTCCAAACCCAAATATCAAAGTATTAATGGACTCCCCCTAAACTCTCAGTCAGCTAGATATTTGAGAGTGTGACAGGCTTTATTTACTAGCAAGAGCATATGTTTTCTGCTGCATTCAGGTAACTAGTTACACCGTACACAGTCGCCAGAGCTATACATGAACACCAAACAAGGCTCCTAATCAGGGTGGTGTCTAATAGAGAGGAATAAATGATTAGCTGAGAAATTAATTCTTCTGTGAGGTAGTAACTGCATGTGTGGCTGATAGCTCTCAACAGTGATACTACTTATCCAAGGTGTTAAATGCTTCCCTTAATGCTCAACAAGCTGGGACAGTCACACTTCAAGGGGAACAAACACTGCGGCACAATCAAAATGAGAGAGAGAGAGAGAGATTGAGAGAAAACACAAACTGAGCACCCAGAACAAGGATGCAGGAGAACAGACTGGCTGAGTCATCATCGGCAGGAGGGAGAGGGCCTTCGGGGTTTTACACCATTTTCCGTGAGGACAAACCAGGTATCTTCAAACGTGGGGCATGTTCCCGGCCACCCTCCCCACAACATTCCTGAGGTGACTCTTCCCCCAAATCCTAAGTCTTCACAGATATAAATAACACTGACTGCTGTTTCCACACAGATGCGGGCAGGATCTTTAATCGAGAGACTGCCGGTGGGCTTAATGGAGCCCCTGCTACACTCAGTCACTTCAGCAATGAAACAAAAGGCCACTTCTCACTTAAGCTTCACTACTCATGTGAGAATCTGTGGTTTTTCAAAAATACTCTGGGCTCTAGAGTACTCTACTCACCTCTTGTCACTCCAAACAGGTAATATCATATTTGAGAAGTATTTCCTCCATGTCACAGAAGTACTTTACTTGGCAATTCTGCAGCAGGCCCATATTTATTAACAGCCAGAAAATTGATTTTGAGAGGTTATGTTAGCTCCGAACACACACATACATATAAACATAAGCACACGCACACTCATACTTGCACACTCATATATGCACTCAGGCGCGCACACACGCAGATATGCATGTGACATACAGGCACACTCACATATACACATACAAGCAAACACACTGATATACAAACATACACACGTAGACACATGTATATTCACACAAAGTACAGACATAAATGCACACAGATACACATGTACGTACAGGTACACAGATACACACGCACATTCACACACACACTGATACACATGCACACTCACATACGTGGGGACATACAGCTACACACACACTCGAAAACCACAGTCTCTGCTGTTACCCTCATCCTTCTGGCGGGAGACTAGTGAGGGAGGACAGGGCGCAGACACTTATCAGAACCACCCAAGGAGCTTGTATGAAACACGCCTACTGCTCAGTAAATATCCTCTGCTTTCCAATTCACACGTACAACTGTCGAAAGAAGGGAGGTGGTGGTGGCTGTGGGCACATGGGTGCCACAAATGGCAGCCCCGCTGGCTCGGAACCCCACTGCCGGGCGTCCCCTCGGCTGCCCAGGGGCACTGCACCGAAACCTAAGTCGGAGGCTCTCCTCGCTCCAACACCGCACGGCAGAGGGCGTGCCTGCTCGTCCCAGCCTGCTGTGTTATTTTTCGTTTTCTAGCGTCACACACTTGCCTGTTCAGAGAAAGATCTAGAGAGTTCTAACTGTAAGCTGTGTCCGTGGCCCTGTCTCATCAGAAACATGCAGATCGTCCTGACGTCAAGACACGTGCTCTCCCGACAAGGCCGCAAGGGCCGGTGACCGCAGAATGCCGACCGTACCTGGGGTCCTCGAGGGGAATGAGCGCCTACCTCGCGTGGTGCCGGCCGTGCCAGGAAGGGCAGCCGCTGGCAGAGGGGAAGAGAGAGGCCGCCGGCTCCACGTGGCTGTCGGAGAACTTGGTGGCGTGCCAGGAGTGAGGCCTCCAGCTCAGCTCACTCTTCCTGGAAAAGAACGCAGGCGATTCAGGGACAGCGCACACTGGACATTCTCCTGCCAAGACAGGAGCGCAGGGGCGATGGCCACGGCCACGCGGGCAGGTGTGCAGCTCATGAAACCACGCACACCCGTTCTTTTTCAGTTTTTGTTCCGCGCCAATTTGCCCTAATGCAGGGCGGGAACCACAGGCTCCAAGTGCGAAGCAACCCTCTTTAAAATTCACTCCTCCACAAATATGTGCAATTATCATTTACCAACTTGAAATTTTACAAGTATAAAAAGAAATAAAACTGATTCTAAATAAGTGAGCAGATCTTGCCCTCTCCCGCCCCAATATGACCAAACCAGACTCCTGTCTTTTGCATTTCAGCATAGCTTTGCACAGGGCCCTGGCTCCTTGCGGAGAAGGGACCGGGCTGGAGAAATGATCAATGAGTCCCGGGTCACCGGGGTTCAGGCTGCTTATCTATTTACCTAGCTAACCAAGTAACTGCAGCTGGCTAGTAGTTCCCTAAGACCAGGAGGCACATCCTGCCCTGAGTGTCTGCACGGGCACCTGTGGAGTCAACTGGGGTCCCCACCGAGAATCACGATGCGCCAGCACAGCAGGCTCAACTCCCTGCCAGACAGGGCTTCTGAAGGTGAGACGTGCCTTGCGGGTTGCCGGGCCACAGCACCCACCCCACGTGGGCTTAGTAGTGCTTTGGCCACACCTGCCCGGTGTGTCCAGGTGCAAATCCCTGCGGATGTCGGTGAGGTCCAGAGCCTCACATCCAGAGGACGACAGCCTCCAAGAGAATGCTGCCAAGCCTGCAGCCCTACTCCTCTCCCAGCTTTACGGTAGGGAGCGAGCTGTGCTTGTCTCTTCTCTAATTTGGGACAAAAATGACCTCACTTTGGAAACTCGGCAGCCCAGTTGAGAACGGAGAAAGAGCTCAACTGAGTCTCTTTAGGTACCTTATGGAAAGCAAACATTTTTCCCAACAGGCAAAACATTAAAGACTGATACACAATAAAGAATAACTTACAAAATAAAACAAAAAAGCATTCATAACACAAAACTTTTGATGAGTAAGATTATTTCAACAAGGAAAAGTATATGGGTGGCAAAATGCGGAAGGTGTTGACTTTATAATAACAGTTTCCCATGAACCAAAGAGAAAACATAAAACGGACAAACTCATCACAGCACAGGACAGGAATTGTAAAACCCAGGCCGTACCTCATAGAATTTCTCAAAATCCTTGAAAGGAAGGTTCTGGCCACGTGAATTTCATTTTCAGCTCGCTTTTTCTGTGCTATGATGTCCACGACTTCTTTCATATTCCTTTATAGTTAATTAATGAAGGAAATTAACTAGACTGACTGAAACGGGAGGCAAAGGGGTGGGGATTAAGGTTGGGAAAAGAAGATGCCTAAAACTCGTGGCCATGCGACTTCAAACCCGCCTCTAGAAAACTGGGCTGCTAGCTGGGATGAGTGGGACAACAGTTCTCCACGGGTAGAGTAAAAGTTCTCCCAGGAAAACTACCATTAGCAAGCACATATAAAAATATTAGGGACAGGTTTTGTTCTCAGAGTATGTGTGGTAGGTAGACCCTGAGGAGTCCAACGACCCTAGACGCCATGTTGTGAGGGAGCCCAGGCAGCCCCGGCAGTGGTGGCGGCGTCTCAGCCCACACACCAGACACGGGAGGGAGAGAAGCCGTTTGCACACTGTGGCCCCTGCAGAGGGGACATGGCAAGACACTGGGGATCCAGCCAACAGCCAGAGCCAACGCCTGAAACTTCTGGACATCTCCAGCAGTTCGAGACACCCCTGCAGAGGTGCCTGTCATTGTCCCTGCTGTGCCCAGCCTGGCCCCAGACAGATGTGCTTCAACCCTAGCTGTGGCCCCTCCCGAGTCACCGGTTAGGTTAGGAGCCAAGTTACTCATCCCCTTAGAGCTCTGCTGTTCCATCTGGGAATCACTAGCCACAGCAGTTATTTAAACTGGTCAACATGAAATGAAATCCAGAGTTCAGTTCCTCAGTCATGCTAGCCACATGACAAGTGCTCCATAGCCACATGTAGCCAGTGGCTGCGTGCTGGACGGCGTAGACACGGTCCGTTCCCAGCACTGCGGGAAGTTCCCCGGGCAGCGCTGCCCTTGGAGGTGTGTTGAGCCAACCTGCGCGGTAAGAACACTGCTGCCTGCCCGAGTGCCTGCTAGCGAGTAACTGTCTACGCCGCCTCCCTCCCCACCCTCCCTACCCTCCCCTAAAGTGCAGGTGACCACGTTTTGGAGATCTTCTATAGCAGCTTCCTCATGTGGAAATAACCTGCCATAACACACAGCACGCTTCTGGGTATCTCCATAGCTTTGTGCCAATATAATTTTACAACTGGAAATTCTCTTTCACGCCAAGAATTTTGGAGCAACTTTTCATGCAGCAGAGATCATCAGAATAGAGTGTATGTACCATCTTCGACCTGCTTCTGAAGATACCCAGGAAGCACCTCCCCCCACTGAAGACACAAAGTTTCAGTTTACAGAACTGTTGCAAAGAAAATTAATCATCCCCTGGGACCTATTCCTCAAATTGTACCTGAAAATGACATACATCTTTAGCTTAGTCAGTTGCTATTAGAGGGGAGAGCAGCTTGGTAGTAACATTAACCTATTACCAAAAAAAAAAAAAAACCCAAACTTTAAAAACAAGTCTCATCTTTCCATTGACCTGCAAAAATAAGGATTAACTCCATGTTGTAATGAATCAGACTGTGACCACAGAAGCAATTTAGTAGCCGAGGGCTAAATAATCCTGTTCCTACACCAAAACGGCATCTGTTAAAACCTGAATACTATATTTTAAAATAAAAGTATAATAGTAATTAATGGTATGAATTAATGATTAATGTTACCATTTCAGATTTATTCTTTTACCTTATTAGCTTATTCTTTAATGATGATATTCAGATTATATCCAATATTGACTTGAAGAGCTGGCCATTTGGCCAAAATTTATACCATTCCATGGATGGAAGGCTGAACAAAATGTGGTCCATCTCTATGGTCCCCGACCCCTGGGGCACAGCCCAGTACCAGTCTGTGGCCTGTTAGGAACCTGGCCGCGCATCACTACCTGTGCTCCACCTGCACCCACCCCCTGGCCCTGTCTGTGGAAAATTTGTCTTCAGGTGAGCAAGTGAAGCTTCATCTGTATTTACAGCCACTTCCCATTGCTCATCTGAGCTCTGCACCACCCCACCCACCCCTAAGCCCAGCCCCGCCACCCAATTGTCTTCCATGAAACCAGTCCCTGGTGCCAAAAAGGTTGGGGACCACTGGTCTATCTATACAATGGAACGTTACTCAAACATAAAAAGGAATGAAGTTCTGAGACATGCTACAACATGGATGACCCTTGGGTACACTGTGCTAAGAGACATTAGCCAGTTATAAAAGGGCAGGTACTCTATGACTGAACTGATATGCAGTGCCTGAGTCATCAAAATTCACAGACACAGAAAGTAGCACTTGGTTGCCAGGGGCTGGGGGAAGGGAGAACAGGACATTATTGTTTAAAGTATATGCAGTTTCAGTTTTGCAAGAATAAAAAAGAGTTCTAGAAATTGGATGCATAATGGGAGTATACTTAACACGACAGAACACTTGATCATGGTTAGTATGGTAAATTTCGTGTATATTTTACCACAATCACAAAAACAAAATGTATTCTGTGCATCTCCAATAGCGATGGACAACTGTGTGGACGTGTCCGTCAGGGGGACACAAATGCACGTAGAGAGGTCAAAATGCAGCCAGAGGAGGAGGAAGGAAAGACAGGAGAGCCCGTCAGAAAGGGGGGCCTGCAGAGCCACAGGGGCTGATGGCACGGCACGGGAACCCGTGAGGGCAGTTTGGCAGGGTCGTCACAGGCGGGAAGGGACCACACTAGGGAAGGTGAGATGTCGCACGTTCACAACATGCATCACACCTGGCACACATCTTTGAGAACTGTCTGTAGATAATGGGCAATGCTCTAGCAGGCAAGGGATAAAGGAAAACAAACCCAGAAGCTCCCTTTTACACAGACAATACACAGACACACGTGCCTATTTCCAGAAGGCATAGCCAGAGGGCCGTTTTTAAAAAGAAACAAAGGAAGACACACAGTGAAAAGGATTGTGCTCCTGCTGTAACTAAAGATAACGCTGGTTACTGGGGACAGTGAAACTGTCCTAAAATAGGGTGTGCTTTTTTCAAGTTCTCAGAATTTCCTGGTACCTAATGAACATGTCTGGGAGTGAAGCCAGGGTCGGGCTGTTTTCTGTGTGTTAGCGCCTCTGGGACGGCTGGGCTTGTGCGGATGAGGAGGGAGACGCGCCGCCCGCCAGGCGCTCAACCTCAGTCCTAGGGAGCTGGGCACACAGCACGCTGGCGCCACCTGGAGGCCATCCGTAGTTATGGTCCCTCTACTCAGCTGCAACCACCCCCAGGTGGACAGGAGGTGAGGGAAGATCCTCCTCTCAACGAGGTTGTGGTATTTCCTCCCGTACAAGACAGACAGACAGACAGACAGACAGACAGACACACAGACACACACACACACACACACACACACACACACGGCTTTAAGCCACCTGGCCCCTAGAACTACACGTGCTATAAGCAGGACGACAGACACGACACTGTGCATTTCTTTCCACCCTGCAGGCTTGGTGGCCACCTTTCTCTTCCAAGTACACCTGGTTTGGTGACCATTCTCCCAAAACATAATCTTTAATTAGATCATATTTAATATTCCTTTCACACGACAACCAAAACGGCTTGGTATTGACAGTATTAACAGTGGGTCTTCTGGTACTCCAGATGAAACTATTCATTCTAATGGAGGGATCCCATGACATCCTTTCCAACAAATCATAGAATAATTTTATGTGCTAGGTAGTATCGGTTTTTTTTTTTTTTGAAAGGACAGGGTTTAGATCACAACTATTAAAAAAATGCTAGGATGTCCT